GCCAGAGCCCTCAAACCTCTGCACCCCAATCCTCTGCCCTAGCCCTGAACCCCCTCCCACACTCCAAACCCCTCGGCCCCACCCCCACCACATGCATTTTGTTATGTGCACCAATATGGAGGTGATGTGTACATCACCTTCATATTGGTGCACATGGGTGGGAAAAATTAGAGGGAACGCTGGTTGCCTCCTCCATTCAATAAGGGTCCCACACTTTCCCTGACCTTCTTGTTGCTAAGGTAGTTGCCATGGTAGGATGGGCCTTCAGGTCTAAAGCAATGGCCAGCATCATCTGCAATCATAACTGGGGAAGGAAGGTCTTGGCTTTCGTAGAGTCCAAGGCTGCTTCTATAAATTCTGTCTCTTGTATAAGAGACAGGATTGACTTTGCTGTGTTGATGAACAACCCTAATGCATTGAAGGTGGATTGGACAACAGTCATGTTGGACATCACCTAAGCCTTGGACCATCCAAGAGGGAAACACTTGAATTCCCAATTTTCTGAGGAACAGTGGCACCACCGCCCTCTACTTTATGAACACATGTGGGGCTGCAGACAGGCTAAATGGTAAGACTGCAAACTGATAGCGGCACTAGTTGACCAAAAACCTGAGGAATTTCCTGTGGCTTTGATGTTTTGCCACATGCAAATATGCATCCTTTAAGTTGAGGGTGGCATACCAGTCTTCAGGATCCAGGGAGGGAATAACAGAAGCCAGAGGGACCACATAAAACTTTATTTTCTTTAGCTATCTGTTGCGATCTTGCAGGCCTAGAATGAGTCTGAGACCCTCTTTTGCTTTTAGAATTAGGAAGTATTGAGAATAAAATTCCTTTCCTCTGTGAAATGGAGGACCTTCCGTTATGACTCTCAACCAGAGGAGAGATTGCACCTCCTGAAGGAGAACTACCTCTTGACCGTGGCCCCTGAAAAGGGATGAGGAAAGGAAGTGAAATGGGAGGATAGAAATAAATTGAAGGATGTATCCCAATTAAGTCTATACTTAAGACCCACTGGTCTTCAGTGATGCAGGACCAAGCATTTAAGTAGTGGGATAATCAGCTGGCAAAAAAGGGGTAGAAAAGGTTTGCACTCTGGAAGGTGGTAGGCTGTCCTTGACAAACATCAAAATGTTTGCTTAGAACTGTCATTCTGTCTGTCTGAACTAGGAGCTGCTGCAGAAAACAAAAGGGTTGGTCTTCTATAACCTCCAATCTTTTTTCTCACTAGGTCCTGGTTCTGAGGCATGAAAGAAGGATAATATGGCTGTGGAGGCGAGATCTGCTTTTTCTTTGGGGAAGGTGTATCAATGCCCAAAGATTTGAATATCGCCCTGGAGTCCTTGAGTCTATGCAGCTTGTCATCAATCTGCTTAGAGAAGAGCAATGACCCGTCAAAGGGCTGTAATACTTTGGTCTCATTTTGGTTGTTGGGTTTAGTGAGCAGATGCTGGGTGGTGCTGGTGGCCTGTGATATACAGGAGCTCAGACTAGATGATCTTTTGGCCTTAAACTCTATGTATCTAAAAGGTCGCAGGAGCAGTGGGTGCTGGAGGAGCCAGATCCACGTAGAACTCTGTTTGGATGTGTGAATTGACAAAGACATGGAAAATGGTCCCACAGTCAGACAGAGCCTTCCTGTTAAGCTTCCTGTTCCTGGACTGATCCACAGCCATCTTAGTCAGTGCCAGGAGGAGGTCCCAGGACTATGTGGAACCTTAGATCAAGTGGGCAAAAATAAACAGATGAAAGGAAAATTGCAGCCCCAGCCTCTCACTACAAAGGGTTGGATGTTGGAGGAATCCATGAAATACAGTAGCAATGTGCCTATGCTCACAACTCCAGCTTACATCACTGATGGATGGTGGAACCAGGATGGAATATATGGAGGATCTGCCAGCTTACATCACTGATGGATGGTGGAACCAGGATGGAATATATGCTCTCCTACCAGGGGCCTTCCATCCACTTGGGTCCCTGGGGGAGGGAGTGCAAAAGAGCAAGAAAATGGATGATATGGAGCATTCAATGTATGAAGATGTCCCCTGGGCATGGCTGAGAGGCCTGCTCAGGTGATGTGTGGAGAGCAGCTGCGGGGAGTTGTCATGGAGCCAAGGCCTGACTGACTCCAGCAGCTAGGAGAGAAGGGTGGGTTGGATAAGTCTTCTCAGGGGACCCATTTGAGGAATGTGAGAGAGGTAGGGGACAGGGCAGCTTTCACTGCCTAGAGCATACAACAGGAAATGTGAGTGTGGTGGGCAGCCCCATGCACTGTGCAAGCATGGTGGGGACCATCCAGTCTTGCCAGCTGTAACTTATGAAAGGGAATATATGACAGGGTTGCCTGCAAAAGCAGAGGATTTGGACTCAGTGATCCAAGAAATCCCTTCTGGTCCTGTGTCCCTCTATAGTCCAGGAACTCTTGATTCTGAGGACCAACTTCTGGTCAACTGAAGAGACCACCACCAGCACATGAAGCTGGAGATTGGGCAGGAGGGGCTCTAGGAGAAAATCCTCAACTCTCAGTGGCTACAGAGGACCTGGCTGCAGAGACCAGCTTTCAGGTCCTGGTAGAAGGCTGGCAACTGTGAGAGGTCTAATGGGAGACCCCTTGGGTTGAAGTCAAAGAATAGCTGGTCATTTCAGAGCCCTCAGAAACAGTGGAGAAAAGCATGCTCCATGCGGGACTAGAAGCATCCTACAGGAGCTCTGCAGGACCTGTGTAAAGTACAGTCTGACCTGTCACAGCTAGACTGAGGTCTGCCCACTTGGGACAGTAGTCACGAAGCAGGAGTTGGAGGAATCGCAAGTGCCAGGTCCTGTAAGGAAGAGTCTGGGTCAGAGTCAGAGACTGGAGATCAGAGGTAGTTACCAGGCTGGAATCAGGAGGCATGCATCAGGATCAGAGTCAAGCTGGAGTAGGAGACAGGCGATCAAGCAAAGTCTAGCATTACAGCAGGCCAAAGTCTGTACAGCTGGCCAGGCAACTTGCTGGGGCAACCTCTGGGGTTAAATAGGGTGCTTGGCCAATCAGAGGGCTGCAGGGTACCATCAGTCTGGGTCTTTTGGGAGATATCTTGCGGTGCCTATCCTCCACAGTGCTCCCTGGCTCTCTCTCTACACGGCCTCCTGGTGGCACTGTGGGAACATCAACTGTTCTAGGCTCTGCAGACCTGGGTTCTAGTCCCTGGTTCTTTACAGCCCGAAAGCCCTACTCTCTCAGAGTAGGCTTGGCTTTGAACAAAGACCAGGCCCTGTTCACCCTCTCCCTGAGGGAGGATTAAAGGCACCATAGTCAGAAGGAATCCAGGACCTATCTGTTGAGACTAGCTAAGGTGTTTGGCACCCTCCCTTGTTGGAGAAGTCCTTCCATGCCTGTAGTCAGCTGAAAAGTGAATAGCAAATACTTTAATGGGCTTGTTATCTAGCATACAAAAACTACAAGTTGTTACATTTGTGTATATTAAGGGTGTGGTATTATATCAAAACTGATATTATGTAATTAAAATCTGTATTATAATGATGCATATAGACAAGGAGGCAGAATTAAGGTTGCTTATTCAAACTTTTCTTTAGCATTTTCTGACTTTTCAGTGTTTATATTCATAACTAATATATTAATAACATATTTTTGTAATTTTAATTGTCTAGGGTGTCTTTCCTCAAGAAAAAATGAACAAAGAAATTATCCCAAGTGTTTCAGCTGCATAGATATAATTCAATTTGAATCCTTCTGTACACTGTTGTAGGCTAAAGTTATTACAGTTATTTGCAGGGTGCTTATGCTAGGATGGCATATAGATTGATTTATAAATTTTTTATGCAATGGGATCTGAGCCACTGAAATGCAATATCGTTAGAGCAAGAGACAAGCAACATCAAAATCTAGGTTTATCAAAGGCCTCTGAAAGCAATTGTAACAACATCCTGTCCTAAACCCAGCCTCTAGGTGGAAAGTACCAGGTTCTGTAGGCTGGGAATATCAGGCCAGGTCAACAACTGAATCATCAGTAAGAGCAGCCCAGCCAGGGCCGGCTCTGGCTTTTTTGCCGGGGGGGGCGGCCGGAGCCCCTGGGGGAGGGCGGCGAGCCCCGGCGGCGGCTCCGGTCTCCCCCCCAGCGGCCAGAGCGCCGGGGGCAGGGCCGCGAGCCCCC